AAATAAATATACAAATTTTAAAAATTAAAAAATAAATAAATAAATGGCAACTCTTTACCTACCACTATCATTCAGACACACAACATCCTCCTCTCAGGCTTTACTTTTCTCCATAGTACTCATCGTCTTTTAACATACTATTTATTTTACTTACTCTGTTTATTGCCTGTCTCGCAGGACTATTTTATGTTATATTTATTCATTTATTCATTTATTTATTTTTTTGTTCACCCAGGCTGGAGTGTAGTGGTGCGATCTCAGCTCACTGTAACCTCTGCCTCCTAGGTTCAAGTGATTCTCCTGCCTCAACCTCCCAAGTAGCTGGGATTACATGCATGCTCTACCACACCAGGCTAATTTTTGCATTTTTAGTAGAGACGGGTTTTCACCATGTTGGCCAAGCTGGTCTCTAATTCCTGTCCTCAAGTGATTCACCCGCCTTGGCCTCCCAAAGTGCTGGGATTATAGGTGTGAGCCATCACACAGCAGCTAGTAGTTACTTTTACAGTAGTTTATCTGATAGGTCCAGATTTAAAACTATAAGGAAGCGCTGGGGACGATGGTTCACACATGTAATCCCAGCACTATGGGAGGCCAAGGCAGAAGGATCACTTGAGGCTAGGAGCTCAAGACCAACCTGGCCAATACAGTGAGACCCCACCTTTGATTTAAATATTAAAATAAGAAACTTATAAGGAAGGAAGAACAAATGGAAAGCACTAAACAAAACAGGAAGCAGATTCTTTCTAAGCAAGAAAATTTTTAACAAATACTTTTGTGTTTTTCCTATATAATACATCAACCCAAATGAAAACCATATTAGAGTTGCCATTTCATTAAAATTACTATCCAACTTCCTAATGAATATGAAGGAATGCATTTAAAGCAAAGACATTTATGGTACATAAGATTTAAAAATCGTTTCATCAGAAATAATTTACAGTTATTTTAATTACTTGCCAAAAACTAATAAATGTAATTTTCAAAAAAACATACACATAATAATAAAAAGATCTTTTACCTCTTAATTGAAAAATTCTTGGAAGCCTTACTGAAAAACTCTGTTTCTACATTTTGGCTTTCAGCACTCAGTTCACAACGGATTGGATTTTTGTCAGGAGGTTCAACATTCTGAAATGAAGTAGGTCATATTTTGAGATCTGACTTAAATAAGAACACCAGAGAATTCTATTTAGATGAAAAGTAGCTCTGAAACACTAGATGATGGAGTGGCAGACTTCTGATTTGTGTAACTGTAACCTTCTTTTGTAAACTGTCCAGTTCCCTGCTACATAAGTGAAAAAGTTAATCACTTGTGTTATAATCACAGATTCAGTGAATATAACTATGAAATGAGAATACCATCTAAAGAATAAAATGATAAATGATATGTCTCTAAAACAGAAATAAAGTATTAGATCTCAATTAAAATGATTATATGTATAATTAAAATACAAAAACTTCATAGCTTACATAACATATATATAAAATGTACATAGATATATTATATAAGTATATTTTTATATATAACATATATGTAATATAATGTATACATTATATCATATTAAAATATATATTTATATAAAATATATAGATTTATAACCTATACCTGATCTCAAAGAAGGTACTAAATAAGATCAGAGTGGACACACGTGGTTATTTAAAAGTATTCAGTATTTTTCTAATAAAGAATGTACTTTTATTAGTCTGAGACCTAAAATAACCAATAATTTCATTGAAAAGTAGCCTTTGAATATTTCGTATAATGACACGCGGTTTCAAAGATCTACTTCCTCTTTTTTTTTTGATACAGAGTTTCACTCTTGTTGCCCAGGTTAGAGTGCAACAGTGCGATCTCAGTTCACTGCAACCTCCACCTCCCAGGTTCAAGCGATTCCCCTGCCTCAGTCTCCCAAGTAGCTAGGATTACAGGCACCTGGCACCATACCCGGCTAATTTTTGTATTTTTAGTAGAGACAGGGTTTCACCATGTTATCCAGGCTGGTCTCAAACTCCTGACCTCAGGTGATCCACCCGCCTCGGCCTCCCAAAGTGCTGGGATTGGAGGTGTGAGCCACCATGCCTGGCCTAAAGATCTACTTTTCCTACGATCATCATCTAGTTGTGTTTCTAGGTATTTTATTAGATGATATAGTAACAACCTATTCTGATTCCTTAGATACATAATATAAATAATGGCCTTTAAGTATAAAAAACCATTTGTTATTCCCACACATTTTAAAAATAATAAAGTCATGGTCAGATGCAGTGGCTCACACCTATAATCCCAGCACTTTGGGAGGCTGAGGCAGGTGGATCACCTAAGGTCAGGAGTTCGAGACCAG